ATAGGGATGACGTAAAGGAAGCTGGATGTGATTCTGACCCCTCTCCTGGCTCAGTGCATATAGCCATAGTCACAGAATGTAGTCACAGGGGAATGGTTTTTTTTTTCTTTTTGTTTTGTTTGTTTTGGAGGTGGGGATGAAGATGTAACTTGCTGTGAAGGGTGTATGAACACATTTCTGGCCGAGGCACCCCAGCCCTGGACTATAGCCATAGCTTTCTGATTTTCTCCCTGACTAATCCACTGTAATCTGTCCTCCACTCAGCTGTCAAGCTGATCTTCGAGTGCTGGTCTGACCATGCCACCCACTGCTCAGTAAACTCCAGGGGGTCCTCCAGAATCAAACATACAATCCTCTGTCTGGTGTTCCAAGGCCTTCAGAACCTGGACCCTTTTTGGATTAGATGGCTGGGCGTGGCATTAGGAAGACTTGAGTTAAAACCTGGCCTCAGATACTTGCTAGCTATGTGGCCCTGGGCAAGTCACTTAACTTCTGCGTGCCTCAGTTTTCTCAGCTGTAAAATGGGGGGTAATAAGACCACCTATCACCCAAGGTTGTTGTGAGGAACAAAGTGCCTAGCATGGTGCCTGGCACATAGTAGGTGCAGATACTTTTCCTTTCCCTTCTTACCTTTCCAGTCTTCTTACACCTTCCTCAGTCAGTCAATAAACATTTATTAAATGCCTACTATGTGCCAGGCACTACCTCACTGCCCTCTTGATTTGGTGATACAACATGCACAACTGTGCCATCTCCCAACTCGGGCACTTTCACTGACTGTCCTCTATGCCATGGAATGCTCTCCTTTCCCAGGCTTCCTATCTTACCAGAAGTCTTTCCTGACCCTCCCCCACTCCTTGGAGCTATTGCCTTCCTGTTGTTAATTATCTCCGGTTGCTCCTGTTTACATCTGGTTTGTTCATACTTACCAGCATGCTGTCTTCCCCTTTAGTGGGTAAGCTCAGGTCTGGGCCGGTCTTTTGCCTTTCCTCTTTGTGTTTAGTACAGTAATATGGCATGTAGTAGGTGTTTAATAATGAACATGCTTCTTGACTCGATAAGGGATCAACTTAATTGGCTGAGCAAACCTTAGCAATACCATTGGGGGCTTTAAATAGCTAAGCCCAGGGCGAATTTCAGCAGTTTGAAAGTAGGCACGATTGCAAGTCAGAACCCGCCCGTGCAGGATCATAAGATCATAAATTCAGACCTGGCAGAGGCCTTAGGAGGACAGATCCCTGCAGGGGGAAGGAACGAATTTCTTTCTTCTTCCCATCCCCCACTCCCTCCATTGGTCATATAATTTTGAAGGGGAGCTAATAGACCAACAGAAGACAATGTATCCAGTGAGGAGGCCAGGCGCACACCAGACAGACACAGATACAGAGTTACTCAAGGGAGGAAGCAGTTTCAAGGAGCATGATCCCTGGCAGCCTAGAAAAGAGCCAGCTATGAAAACAACTAGACTCTGGGAACCCAGATGAGCAACCAGCCCAGCAGAGGCACTGCACCCAAAGGGAGTTGCATGAGGACTCTGTGAATAGAGAAAAGCATTCCAGGCCTCGGTGTACCAGGAGTTGAATTTCCTTTGCCATGCTATGTGTGATCCACTACTGTTATATTCTGTTTGCTGTCACTCTTCCTATGGAGGAGTGTGCCCAGATTTATGGTCGTTAGGGATGTTGGGAGGCAGTATGGGCCAGGCAAGTCAAACCACCATCACCACCTTGGTCACCATCTCCCCTCAGAACCTGATGGAGACTGCCCAGGACCCTGAACCCAAAAGCCTTGAGAACAGCAATGCTTCCTGCCCAGTGCCCTCAGCCATCATCCTGGGAAACAACCCTGGTGGAGATACAGCCTGGCAATTGCTCCTGCAGGTGCTACAGTCCCAGCTACTTTCAGCTGGTCAATCAGTAAACATTTATTAAGCACCTACTAGGTGCCAACCACTGTGCTAAGTGCTGGGAATACAAAGAGAGGCAAAAGATCTCTGCCCTCAAGGAGCTCACAATTCAGTGGGGAAAGATTACACAGAAATAAACAGAAAAGGAAATCCTTGCCCCCCAAAGTCCTTGACACTGTGAGATGGTTCTACATCAAAAACTAATATACTTTTATCAGTGGAAACGACAGAGACATTAATATCTACATCTTAAGGACTGTGGAACCTTTCCATCAGACTTGCTGCAGAAACCTTCCATAAGTGCTGTCTTCTTCACTATTAGAATGGGAGCTCTTTCGGGACTTTTCTATTCCTGGTGCTTTACACTTAATAAGTGCTTAATAAATGCTTCATTCATGCATATCATCTTAGTAAGTGCCTTTGCTAAGAGCTGAGTTTGCAGAACATTGTTAATGGGAAGCACACCGGTGGGGACCCTCAGCGAATGTTAGAAATAGCCATGTATAGGATACCCTAGTACTCAAAGTAGTCCCACCCCTAGGGACACAACCCAAAAAAACCTGTGAGTGCCAGGTTGGAGGAGTCCTCCATAAGAGTTGCTACAGTTAGGGGCAGCTAGGTGGCACAGTGGATAGAGTTCCAGCCTTGGAGTCAGGAGGACCTCAGTTCAAATCCGGCCTCAGACACTAGACACTTACTAGCTGTGTGACCATGTGCAAGTCACTTAACCCTGATTGCCTCACCAAAAAAAAAAAGAGTTGCTACAATTGCCCTAATTGTTGCTGGAGGTGGGTCAGGAAATGAACTCACATTAAAGGGATCACTTTGTAAATTGTAAAGAGAAATAGAATTGTCAACTGGCATTTTTATTATTGCTTCCTCATTGATGTAACTTGCATGGAAATCTCGTTTGCAGAGGAGAATGTAGGAGAATTTATTGTGGAAGGGAAAACACTCACATATAAATAGCCTCAGGTCTGTTAAAAAGGAAACTGTCCCAATACTATTTATGTGACTTTGGGCAATTGCTTCATCTCCCACGGGGGCCACAGTTCAGCCTTGGTGACCACCAGTCATCTCTCCATTCCCCTTTGGGGAAGCATTCTCTCCTTGGGCCTCAGTTTCCTCAAATGTAAAATCAGGAGGCTGCTCTAAAAGGCTTCTGAGGTCCCCTCCAGCTCTAGAATTCTGACAGCTGGCACAGCCTGGGGTGGGGGGCAGTGAAGGAGGTGACGTCAGATTCCTGTTACCGAGCAGGAAACTCTCCTGCCCTCCCTTCCTTGGCTCAGACAGCACAAGGCACACAGTTGTCTGGCACAGACACCAGCACACACGCAGATGGTCTCTCTCTTCCTTCCAACCTAGTATCTAATTCCTTTTTGACTGGTCTGGAGCCCCAGGGCTCAGCATAACCCACCCATGTTTGCTAAGGGAAGGTCTGAGTCCCTGTGGGTGAGGACACGGCTCAGCTCAGCCCTGGTACTTCTCAGGAGGAAGGCCTGCCGATTGCATGGATCACAAACCCACATCCTGCCCAGCTCAGCGGCCTCTGCCCAGAGCCATTGAGGCAGCAGAAGGAAATTAAAAGGGGGTTGGGGGTGAGGGAGAGGTCAGTGCTTCTAGCTCAAGGAAGCCAGAGGAAAGAATGTCTGGCCAAATTCCAGAAAAAGGTGAAAAGGGTGGTGGGGGCGGGGAGGAATCTCATTACGTGGTAAGACGGAGAGGTTTGGATAGCCAAACGTGTCTCCAAGTCATGGGGTATGGCAGCTAAGTGGTACAACAGGAATCAGAAAGAGCTGGATTCAGATGCTGCCTCGGACGCTTCCTTAGCTGTGTGATCCTGGGTGAGTCGCTCCCACCCCTCGGCCTCAGGTCCCTCATCTGTAAAATGGGGATAAGAGCACCTAATTCACGAGGTGGTTGTGAGGAAAGCGCTAGGTAAATGTTCGCTCTAGGTACCAGCTCTGGGATGTAGGGAAAGCCAGAGGGGCCTGGGATCCAGCCTCTGCTATAGATGAGAAGTGTGGGACCTGGGGGAGGTTCCTTCCCCTCCGCAGGCTTGTTTCCTTAGGTATAAAATGAAGGGCCTTGGATGAACTTTAAGGTTCCTGTCAAACAGCTGGTGTTGCCTTTGGCCTCTGTTTACTTACCTGGAAAACCAAGAGGATGAGAGCCCAGTCTTTGCAGCACCAACAGGAAGGGAAAGGGGAGGGAGAATAAGCATTTATATGTGCCGGGCTTGTGCTAAGTGCTTCACAAACACGATCTCATTTGATCCTCACAACATTGCTGTGTTATTATCCTATTTTACAGCTGAGGAAACTGAGGCAAACCGGGTTTAGGCTCAGGATCACATGGCTAGTTAGTGTCTGAAGCTGGATTTGAACTCAGGTCTTCCTGACTTCAGGCCCAGTGGTCTAGCCATAGCACCACCTGACTTAGCATATGGTCCCATGGGAGCCTGCCAGGCTGAGTGTGGCTGCCAGGAGAAAGGCCCTGGCGCAGGAGAGGGCAAGGCCAATGTGAAGGTTGGAGAAGTCTTAGGAATCCAAGGGTGTTCCAGGAACACCAAAGGGAAGGGGGCAGGGAAAGCTCCATGAAAGTTCCCTGTTTTATTAACAAGCCCAAGTCTCACAGAGGCAGGTGGACCCACACCATCACACACACACCTGGAGCTAGGATGATGGGGAAGCTGCCAGCTGGCAGGAAAGGCAAGCCCGGCAGGGGATGCGGAGCCAACGGTCCAGGGCCCTCTGTTCTCGTCAGCTTCTGAAGCCTTTGGCCCTACAACTGACCTCCTGCCCAGAACTGGGAAGGGGATGGAAAGGCTGTGCAGAGAAGGGGCCAGGGCGCTTCATAATCTTGTTGGCAACGGGAAGGAGAAAGTCCTGCTGTGGCTCAGATGCCCTTGGGATCCCCAGCAGAGAGACAGCCCAGGTGGGACTGCCTCGATTCCAGGGAAACACACGAGGCGGGTACCCCGGGAGGCACCTGTGGAGCCCGGGGGGTTGGGGGGCTGCCAGCCCCACCAGCCTCCCCTCCAATCAGGACCTACAGGGTGGAGCCGAGGCAGACGCTGAAGGCAGCTGGCAGCTGGAGGGACAGAGGTAGTACTTTATTGAGAGGAGGGCTCCTCCAAGGGTTTGGAAAAAGCCCAGAACCAGGCTCAGCCTCCCCTGACCCTCCCAGCAACCCTACAGAGACAACAGAACATCACCGTCAAAAGGCCAGCAAACAGCAGAGAGCAGAGGAGGAGGGGAGGCTGCCCGCTGGCAGGGACACGGGTGCCAGCCACCTCGAGGCAGTGCCATGGCCTGCCCTGTGGCCCCTCACTCCCCAGGGTTAAGGTTCATCGTGGTTCACAGTGAGACTGGCTTGGCTTCAGCGGCACGGAAGGGAGAAAGACACTGAGGATTTCCCCCTTGCTCCAGCCTGGCCCGGCCCCGTCGCCCACCTCCTCTGACCCTCCTCTCCTTAACTCACCAGGCAGGGGGCAAGGGCATAAAGGGAGCAGGGCTGGCCCTCCTCCCCGAGGCCTCTGGAATCAAGGAGATGCTTTTCCCTGGGAGGGATTCAGCTAGCTGGGACCCCGAGGTCTCCAATGCCATTCGAGGGCAGGGGGTGGGCAGGGACGGTGGCAGACGCTAACTCTCCATAGCTACCACCGGCCTGTTTCCCAGTGGGGAGGATGAGTCACTCTCAGCTCCCAGGGAGAATAGAGGTTTGGGGAATTTCTCATAGGACTACCCGGAGTCTTTCCTAGCTATTCAACAGAGAAATGATTTTTTTTAAAGAGTAATCAAAAGCTGCATGGGGCTACACTCGGCTGGACCCAAGGATTAAGCCCCAGGAGAGCTCTGCTTCAGAATGGGTCTCTGACTCCCCAGGAGGCGCCTGTGCAGAGGGACCTGCCTCCTCCCCCAGTGACCCCAGGACTCAGGCAGGGATGGGGGCAGGGCCAGACAGAAGAGGGGGGGTGGCACCGCCTGGTCAGGGGGAGCGTGTTCGGGGAGGGAGCACACCTTCGGCTTCTGCTAGGAGCCCAGCCCAGAGGTGCCAGGAGGAGGAGGGGGCTTGTCTTCTGTAGAGGTGGGGAGGGGAGCATGAAGCGGTAATGTGCTCAACTAGTAAACAGGCCTCGCCCTCTAGGGAGTGGTCCTGAGCCTCTGTCTTCAGGCCCCAGCAGGCTCTGGCTTGGGCTGCCCTGGGCCTCCCTTGGGGCTTCTGCCAGCTCAGGCATTGCAGCCCTGCTCCCATCCTGGGGTGGGATGGAGGGTAGAGGGAAGAGGGCTTCATGCCTTGTGCACCTCGCCGTGCCCGTCGGGGGGCTCCTGGTGGCTGGAGGGGAAGCGCTGCTTCTCCTGCCGGCTACCCCCACCCCCTCCACCGTCGTCATCTGTGCCCGTTTCCAGTCCCAGCATCTGCCGCTGAACCAGCTTGGCATAGAGGCCACCCTGGGTCAGCAGCTGCTTGTGGGTCCCCTGTTGCACCACACGCCCCTTGTCCAACACAATGATGCTGTGCGCCTTCTCCACGGTGCTTAGGCGGTGGGCAATGATCAGGACTGTGTGCTTCTGAAGGTTGCCGTGGATTGCCTGCTGGATCTGGAGGACAGAGAAGGGGATGGTGGGATGGGGCAGGACAGGAGGAAGGCGAGGAAGCAGGATGGTGGGCACAGAGGGCACAGAGCTGCGATCCTGGCCCTGAGTTCACAAGCCACAAGACTGGGTTCCCTTCCGTGGGTCTCATCTCGTGGAGCCCAGAATCCCAGAATCTGAGAACGGGAAAGAATCTCGGTGGCCCATGAACCCAACCCATGTCCAAAGGGCTCCCCTTGCTGGGATGTCCCCAACAAATGCTCGCCGGCCTCTGTCAGGAGGAGCCCATCAGCCCCGGAGGCAGCTCAGATCCCTCCTGGACAGCTCTGACCTCTAGAAAGTTCTTCCTGCCTCAGTTTGACTCTCTGCAGCCTTCCAGCACTGTTCCTGGTTGTGTCCCTTAGGGCCAAGCAGCACAAGGCACCTCCCTGCTTGTGACAGCCTTTCCAGTGTGTCTCTCCCCAGTGTCCCTAATCGTGCTCAGATCCTTTAACCGATCCTCCTAGGTCACGGACCTAAGGTGCTTCACCCTCCTGGCTGTCCTCCTCTGGACACTCTCCATCTTATCAGTCTCTTTATTAAATGGTGAGGCCCAGAACAGAACACTCCAGCTGAGGTCTGCCAAGGGCAGAGGACAGTGGGACTAACCCCCTGCCTATTCCTAGAGGCTGTGCTACTCCTCATGCAACCCAAGTACAGACTCGCTTTTGGCCAACACATCATACTACTGGTTCATCTTGAGGCTGTGGTCCACTTAGACCCCAAGATCTTCTTCAGAACTTTGGCACATCATTTCTCCCTCGTCCTATGCTCATGAAGTTGATATTTTTTGGACCCAAGTACAAGACTTGACATTTGTCGCTACTGAATTTCATCTCATTGTATTCGGTCCAATAATCTAGCCTGTTGGTATCTTTTTGGGTTTTAACTATCATCCACTGTATTAGCTATCCTCCAGGCCCGCTAAACGCTCTGTATTTAGAGCTGGAAGGGACTTTAGAGATCCAGTCCAACCTCTTCATTGTACAGAAGGGGAAACTGAGTTTCAGAGAAGCTGAGTAACGTAGGAGCATAGATCATGGATCTAAAGCTGGAATAATCCTCAGAAATCATTTAATCCAGTCATTGAACTCCTGAGGAAACTGAGGCTCTAAGAGTTGAATGATTTGTTGAAGGTCACAGAGCCAGCTGAGTGTCAGAGGTGGGACTGTCACGGTGTCTTCCAGATGCCAAGTTCAGTACCTATCTAGCACACCGGGCTGCCTCTCTTAATCCCTAACCCCCCATTTCACAGGTGGGGAAACTGAGGCTCACAGAGGTGAGGAGACTTGTTCAAAGTCTCAGAGCAAGTCAAAGGCCATCTTCTTCCAACCCCTCTAATTGCTAGGTGTCACCAAGCACTTTACACAGAAGTCCAGTGGACTGTCTAAGGCAGGAGGGGCCTGCCCCAGACCGGCCTTCCTCTTGCTGACCGCCCATCCCCACCACCTGCTCCCACCTACCATGTATTCGCTTTCTGCATCCAGGGCACTGGTGGCTTCGTCCAGGATGAGGACAGGCGGGTTCCGGACCAGGGCTCTGGCCATGGCGACTCGCTGCTTCTGACCACCGGACAGCTGGGCTCCCTTTTCTCCAGTCTCTGTGGCAGGCAATAAAGTTGGCTCAAGATGCAGGGAACAGTTCAGGGCTTTCTGCAAGGGGCTGGAGCAAATAGTGAAATCCTGATAGGGCTGTGGGGTGGCCCCTGCCCTCTCTGTGACTCTCCCCACCCACCACCATTGGCAGCAGCCTCCGCAAGTCCCTTCCAGAGAAGAAAGCGGCAAGTTAAAGCTTGTCCACTTTGCAGTGGTAGCTCCTTATGGTCCCCCCCCCCCCCCGCCCTCCTCTTGTGTGTTCTCGAGAGGTTGGTGATCCATCTGATTGGGGAAGGGCTGAGCACTTGTGGTCCATCACTACGTTACTGCTCCACATGAAGAATTCAGAGGAGCGTGGGAAGACTTAGATGAACGGATGGAGAGTGAAGAAAGCAGAACCAGAAGCAAAGCAATGACTACAAAAATGTACATGGAAAGAGCAACACAAAATGGAATTCTGCCTAATTAAATGACCGAGCTTGGCCCCAAAGAAGAGATGAGAAGATTCACCTCCAAACTGGGAAGACTTCTATGAACAGATACAGAGTGAAGTGAGCAGAACCAAGAGGACAATGTATACAGCAACAACATTCCCAAGAAAAACAACTCTGAAAGTCTGAAGGGCTCTGATCAGTGCAGTGACCAACCATGATTAAAAAGATGGAGGACGAAGCAGGAGAACCCACCTCCCCACAGAGAAGTGATGGACTCAGGCTGGAGAATGAAACAAATTCTGGGATATGTCCAATATGGGAATTTGTTTTACTTGACTATGAACATATGTCATGAGGGCTTTTTTCCTTTTTTTTTCCCCAATGAGGGAAAGCGAGAATATGGAGAAGGTTAGGATTAGGGAGAGGAGAGGAGAAGGAAGGAGAGGAGAAAGAGGAAGAGGAGAAGGGAGGAAAGAGGAGAAGAGGAAGGAAAAAAGAAAGTGGAAGAAAGAGAGAGAAAATATATGATCACTAACTGCAAAATATTATAAAATTTAAATTTAAAAAATGAACATAAAGACCAACATAAACCGCCCAAAATAAAAAAATCCAGCCGCACCCCTTTGCAGCAGTGGCGGGGGTGGGGGGGAGGCGTAGAACACTCCATACGCTGTCAGATTCAGCTGATGGGTAGAGTAATTTTGCAGAACTGCTTTCCCTCCCTTTCTTTCTTAATTTTTGTTACAAGTGATGACTGGCTGGGTAAGGGAAGGGAAGGCTATGTTCAGAAATGGAGGTAGCATGAAAAAAGCCATAAATAGAAAAGCCAAGAAAAGAATTTGGCAAGAATAACAACAACTGACATCTCTATGGTGCTTCTGGACATCATTTTGTTGGATCTTTGTGACAGTCCTATGAGGCAAGTGCTACAGGTATCATATACCAATTTACAGATGAAGAAACTGAGGCTCAAAAAAGTTAATTCAATTCAGTAAACACTTATTAAGTGTCTACTGTGTGCCAGGCCCTGTGCTACGTGCTGGGGATACACAAAGAGGCCAAAGACTGTCCCTGCCCTCAAGGAGCTTACGATCTGATGGATTAAGTCAAAAGACTTGCTCCTAGTCACACAGCTGGTGAGTGTCCAAGGCAGAATGTGAATGTACCCCATACTCTGAGAAATTCTACCGGGGAATCTCCAGTATCAGGAGGAAATATTCTTTAGGCATGAAGGCATTCTTGGCATACTTTGTGTATGTGCGTGTGCGTGTGCGTGTGTGCGTGTGGCCTTCCCACCCCTCAGGGACCATACCTGTGTTATAGCCATCCTGCAGCTCCATAATGAAATCATGAGCATTAGCCTTCTGGGCTGCGTCAACCACCATCGTGAAGGGCACCGTGGGCAGCCCATAGGAGATGTTGTCCGTGATGGAGCGAGCAAACAGAACAGGCTCCTGACTCACCAGGGAGATCTGCATTGGGGGGGGGGCAAGGGGGGGGGGCAGGAGAGGGCAAAGAGATGAAGGCGACAGACAGCTGAGTTGGAATCCCTCCACCCTATTCCACATGACCAAAAACCGACTCTGGGGAGCATGGAAAACTTATAAGCTATAAGTCAACTCAAGCTGTCCCTAGTCTAATGGTTATGCCAATCCATTAATTAATTAATAAGCATTTATTAGGCACCTACCATGTATGAGCAGCCAGAAATACAGCTCAATCAACAATTTAAGCCCTACTATGTGTTAGGCACTATACTAAGTACTGAGGCTACAATGCCATAAACAAAATGGTCCTTGCCATCAAGAAGCTTGCCTTGGATAACAAGCCCAAGGTCCTAGTGGCCCTGTTGGCCACTGCCCACTCCCATCCACTGCCCAGAGGACCCCAGCCTACCTACCACTCTGTGTAGGTACTTGTGTTCATAGGAGCTGATGGGTTTCCCATCCAGTAGCACCCGACCCTCCTCCACGGGGTAAAAGTTCTCCAGAATATTGACACAGGAGCTCTTCCCACTCCCTGAGGGCCCCACAAGGGCAGTCACCTTCCCCGGGGAGAGAGTGAAGGACACATTCTGTAGGACACAGAGACACAGTGCTCAGGGCTCTCCTCCTGCCCACTCTTCAAGGCCGAGTCTCTGAGGCCACTTAGCCAACCCTGACAAGCGGTCTTCCTGAGACCTCCAAGGATGAGCCTCTCCCCACCCCGAGGCAGCCCGAGGCACTTTGGGGTAGCTCCCACTCTGCTCCCTGGCACCCAGACTGAACTGGACGCTTCCCAGTCCCTGCCAGTTGCTCCTGGTTCAGCCCTCTGGGGCCACGCAGAACACCATTAACCTCTCCAATGCTTGAAGACAACCCCCCACCTGTGTAGCCCCTTCTCTACGCTCAATGTCCCAGTTCTTTCAACTGTTTCTCATGTGGCAAATGTGAGACCCTTCTCTGATCTGACTGTCCCCTGAATATTCTCCCGCTTGCTGCCCTTCTTAAACCATGGTGGCCAGAACTGAACATGACTCTAGATATGGTCTGACCAGAGCAGAGAACAGTAAGATCACTGCCTTCTTGGGCCTGGACACCACGATCCTCTCAATGCAGCCTGACTACCATAGCACACAATTAACTGACATCGGGTGTGCGGGCCACTAAAACCCTTGGATCTTTTTCAGACAAACTGCTCCCTAACCATGCCTCCCCGTCTTGAACTTCTGACATTGGTTTTTTAAATCCAAGCTGAAGACTTGACCTTGATACTTGGTAAATTTGATTCCACTTGTTTAAGCCCAATGGTGTAGCCTGTCATCCAGTGATAGCTCTTCCCTCTCAGTGCTGGATCACTTTTAGGACCCCCAGTGCTTAGGAAATCTGGCAGCCTTTCTCCCTACTTCCCAACATCCCCCTCTCCCCAGTCTGCTGTTTCTGAGCCCCCAGGCTCTCTAGGGTCTTGAAGGCCCAGGCCTCTTCATCATCAGCCAGAGGGCCCTGCTTCTGCCTGATCGAAGCTGCTCTCTTCTGCCTCTGCTCATCTCCCTCCTAGACAGGGATGGCCAAACCGTACAAAGTGCCAGGGCTGGAAGAGACCTTAGAGATTGTCTGGGCCATCCCTGTCATCTTCTGAAGGAGGAAAAGACCATCCAAACCAAGAAGCATGTATTAAACACCAACTGTGTGTAAGGTGCTGTACTAGCTGCTAGGGATACAAAGATAGAAGGACAGATGATCTTGTCCTGCTGGGGAGAGAAGGGTTACAGCACAAAACAGACGTGCAGGATAATTTGAGGATGTCTAGGAGGGAAAGGAAGGAAGGCCATTGAAGCCCCCAACTTTCTGGGGACCTGCGAATTCAGCCTCTCTCCCCACCCACCATAAGGCCTGCCTGCCTCTCTTGGCCTCCAGCTGGAACATTGATGCCCCTGGGGTCTCCCGCTCACCTGCAGGACTTGGGTGTGAGGACGAGTGTGGTAGGTAAAGGTGACATTCTCAAAGTCCACTCGGCCCTCCAGGTGATCAGGGGCCAAGGTCCCATCATGCACCATGGTTGGCTGCCGGTCAATGAACTCAAACACCTTCTCAGCTGCTCCTACCCCCTGCATCAAGCCACTGTAGACAGAGCCGACCGACTGCAGAGACACAAAGCATCCTCACCATTCCCTCCAAATTACTACCTAGTAACTTCTGGGAGTCTCCTCACCATGGGCCAAGAGAATACAGAGGCTGAGCACAGAGGCTGAGAAGGGAAGGTCTGCCTCCCATCCCCCACCCCCATCCTGGAGAGAGATGGCATGGAGGCAAGGACCTTCCTGAAGAGCCAGGGGCGACCTGCTTCCCAGCAAGAAACTCTGCCCCATCAGCGTCCCCATGAGCTCCATCCCCCTTTCCTCAGGCACATTCGTGGCTATTTTTTAGCTTTGGAGAGCTGGGAGGGACCTTGGCAGCCATTTCCTTTAGCTCCTCCCAGAATTAGAACCCTCACTACCATCTCTCTGACAAGCGGTGCTGAGGCCCTGCGTAAAGGTCTCCAGAGAGGGAAGCCGGCCCTCCCCACGGCGGGACAGCCGTCATCGCTAGGAAGCATTTCCCAACACTGAGCCTACGTCTGCTCTGGGAGCCCAGCAGAATAAGGCTGGTGCCTCCTCCAAATGACCAACCTTTAAACTCTGGAACGGCTCTGGTGTCCCTCCCCCCGCTCCCCAAAGAACGCTGAACATGCCCAGTCCCTTCAGCTGATCTCCTGCTGCAGCCCCCTCCATCCTTGGGTCCTTCTGCTGTCCCACCCTACCCACGGTCATGCCGCAGCCTGCTCTCCTCACCCCATGCTCACCTCCATACAATCTCCCAGAACAAACTCATAGATGATGAAAGAGATGAGGTTCCCACTGGTCATCTGGCCCGAAATGACGAGGTGGCCCCCGTAGTAGAGGATGCTGACCTGCACGACCAGCAGGGTGAGCTAGAGGCCCGGGGACAAAGGGAATTGGGATTTGGGTCAAGAGGTCCTGACTCAGGCTGGCTCTCCTCCATCTCCTTGTGCCCCGCTAGCCTGACAAGGGACAGAGATGGGGGAGGGGGTGTATCAAGGGACCCAGCAAAGAAAAACTCAGATTTGGGCAGGAATCCCCCTCCTGTGCTCCCACTGGATCCTGGGACCACCCTCCCCAACTGGAAGGGTCCTCAGAGGCTGTCTGGTCCAACTGCAGCCCCCTTATTTTACAGATGAGGAAAGTGAGTCCCAGAGAGGCAGAGTGGTTTACAGGATCCTAGATTTAGAGGCCATTGGCCCAGGGAGTTCAAGTGAGTTTGCTCAGGGACCCAAAGGCAGAGAGCCAAAGGGGTCCTCTGACTACAGCCAGTGCTTTTTCTCCTGTATGACACTGTACCGGCTCTCTAGTGAGGTACCGACATTAAAGGAGATTGCCTTCCTGCACTTTGGAGAAAGGGAAAGAAGGAGGGCAAGAAACTAATGCCCCTTACACAAACAAACACATTATCTGTGACATAGGGGAGGAATCCACCCCCGTAATACAGACAAGGAAAACTGAGATCAGAAAAGAACTATTGCGTAGCCACACCTCTCCCATATTGTCCTTGGGACGCTGATTCTTTGAACCCAAGCAAAAGACTTCCCATAAGAATATCATTTCTTACCCACAGCTTGCGGCTATCTTCGTTTTTCAGCATTTGAGTATGTTTTGTATGAGGGAAGCAGCAGAGAGAGAACTGGTTACCCCACATCCAACCTCTGACCCACGCGACCTCTATGACCCTGGGCACGTCTCTGAACCAAGCGTCCCAGAAAACTCTCTAGGAGTGTTTGTTCTTCTGCTTCAAACAGGAAACTTGGGTGGGGCCCGTTCTAGACCTCATCTCACCTGACCAGCAGTGCCCAAGGGGCCTTCTCTTCATAAACAAAGACAAACCTTTTCCAATCTTTCCCCCCACCTCCTGGATCACCGCCTTGTCATGGTGGAGGGGCTTGCGTAGCTCAATGAAACTCTGAACTATGCCATGCAGAGTTACCCAAGATGGACAGGTCACAATGGAGAGCTCTGACAAAAGGCGATCCTCTGGAGAAGGGAATGGCAAACCACCCCAGTATCTTTGTCAAGAAAACCCCACGGACAGTACTAAAATGATGAAAAACATGACACCAGAAGACGAGCCCCTCAGGTCAGAAGGTCTCCAACACACTACTGGGGAAGAGTGGAGGACAGCTTACAAGGAGCTCCAGAAAGATGTGGTCAAACAGGAGGTGGAAAGATAAATATCGACACCTTGGGTGTCAGTGAGCTGAAATGGATGGGAATGGGTGAATTTAATTCAGGGGATCGCTATATCATGTGTACATACTACTGGGGGCAAGAATCCCTTGGAAGAAATGGAGTAGCAGTACTAGGGTAGAATCTCAAAGATGACCAAATAATACCTGTTCCAATCCAAGGCAAATCATTCAGCATCACAGCAATACAAGTCTATGCTCCAGTCACAGATGCCAAAGAGGCCAAAGCTGATCAGTTCTATGAAGACCTACGATATCTTCTAGAAAGAATACTCCAAAAAGATGTCACATTCATCACAGGGGACTGGAATGCTAAAGTAGGAAATTAAAGACAATCAGAACAACAGGCAAGTTTGGCCTTGGAGCACAAAATGAAGCAGGGCAGAGACTAATAGAGTTGTGTCAAGATAACTCGCTGGTCATAGCAAACACTCTTTTCAACAACCCAAAAGGCGATTCTATACATGGACATCACCAGTTGGTCAAAATCAAAATCAGACTGATTCTATACTTTGCAGCCAAAGAGGGAGAAGCTCTATACAGTCAGTTAAAACAACACCCGAGCCGACTGTGGCTCAGATCATGAGCTTTTTATTGCAAAAGTCAGACACACTGAAGACAGTAGGGAAAACCATCAGACAATGTTAGTATGACCTACGACTATGAAGTGGAGGTCATGAGTAGATTTAAGATGAATAGATTTGGTCAATAGTGTGTCTAAAGAACTATGGACAGAGGTTTGCAATATTGTGCAGAGGGCAGCAACAAAAACCATCTCAAAGAAAAAGAAGAGGAATAAAGCAAAATGGTGTCTGATGGGACTTTACAAATAGCTGTGGAAAGAAGGAAAGCGAAAGGTCAAGGGGAAAGGGAAAGACAGACCCAACTGAATGCTGAATTCCAGAGAATAGCAAGGAGAGATAAGAAGGTTTTCTTAAATGAGCAATGCAGAGAAATAGAAGAAAGCAATAGAACGGGAAAGGCAAGAAATCTCTTCAAGAAAATTAGAGATATCAAAGGAATATTTCATGCAAAAATGGATGTGATAAAAGACAGAAATAGTAGGGACTTAACAGAAGCAGAAGAGACTAAGAAAAGGTGGCAAAAATACACAAAAGAACTCTACAAGAAAGATCTGAACATCACCAATAACCACCATGGTAACTGATCTAGAGCCAGACATCCTGGAGAATGAAGTCGAGTGAGCCTTAAGAAGCATTGCTAACAATAAGGCTAGTGGAGGTGATGGAATTCCAGCTGAGGTATTTAAAATCCTAAAAGCTGCTGTTAACACAATAGTAACCACTGGATTGGAAAAGATCAGTTGCATCCCAGTCCTAAAAAAGTGCAGTACCAAGGAATGTTCAAATTTACTGAACAATTGCACTCATTTCTCATGTCAGCAAGGTTATGTTTGATTCTGCAAGCTAGCCTTCAGCAACATGTGAACTGAGAATTACCAGAAGAGCAGACTGGTTTTCAAAGAGGCAGAGGAACCAAAGACCAAATTGCCAACATTCACTGGATTATGGGGAAAGCAAGGGAGTTCCAGAAAACCATCTACTTCTGCTTCACTGACTACAGTATAAAGCCTTTGACTGTGTGGATCACAACAAAATGGGGCAAGTGCTCAAAGAGATGGGAGTACCAGATCGTCTTACTTGTCTCCTGAGGAACCTGTACGTGGGCCAAGAAGCAATAATTAGAACCAAACATGGAGCAACTGATCGGTTTAAGATTGGAAAAGGAGTACAACAAGGCTATATATTACTACCTTCCTTATTTAACTTAAATGCAGAGTATATCAAGTGAAATGCCGACTAAATCAATCAAAAGCTGGAATTGAGGTTGCCAGGAGAAATATCAACAATCTCAGATATGGAGGCAATACCACTCTGATGGCAGAAAGTGAAGAGGAATTAAGAGGCCTCTTTTTTTTGTCTGTTTTTTGGGGGGTTTTTTGCCCTTTTTTGGGGGGGGTAAGGCAGTTGGGGTTAAGTGACTTGCCAAGGGTCACACAGCTAATAAGTGTCATGTATCTGAGGCCAGATTTGAACTCAGGTTCTCCTGACTCCAAGGCTGGAACTCTATCTACTGTACCACCTAGCTGCCCCTTAGGAGGCCTCTTGATGAGGGTGAAAGAGGAGAGAGTAAAAGCTGGCTTAAAGCTTAAGGTAAAAAAACCCCAACAACTAAGGTCTTGGCAACTGGTCCCATTACTTCCTGGCAAATAGAAGCAGAAGAAATGGAAGCAGTGTTTAATATTCTTGGGCTCAAAGATCTCCGAAGATGGCGACTGAAACCATGAAATTAAAAGATTCTTGCTCTTTGGAAGGAAAACTATGGCAGATCTAGACAGCACACTAAAAAGCAGAGACACAACCTTGCTGACAAATATCTAGTCAAAGGTATGGTTTTTCCAGCAGCAATGTTAAGGCTGTGAGAGTAGGACTATAAGGAAAGCTGAGCATCACAGAATCAATGATTTCACATTGTGGTGCTGGAGAAAATTTTTGAGAGTCCCTTGTTCAGCAGGGAGATCAAATCAGTCAATACTTAAATTAATTCAGATTAATCCAGATTCACTGCAAGGTTAACTACAAAAGCTGAAGCTTAAATAAGGCAGTTAGGTGGTGCAGTGGATACAGCACTAGGCCTAGAGTCTAGAGGACTTGAGTTCAAATCCAGCCTCAGACATTGACTAGCTATGTGACCCTAGGCAAGTCACTTAACCTTGTTTGTCTCAATTTCCTCATTTGTAAAATGAACTGGAGAAGGAAACAGCAAACCACTCCAGCATCTTTGCCAAGAAAACCCATATGGTGTCCTGAAGTCATACACGGCTGAAACAACTGAACAACAACAACAAAGCTTATACTCTGGCCACGCAATGAGACGATGGGACTCATTGGAAAAGACCCTCGTGTTGGGAAAGATTAAAGGCAAAAGGAGAAGGGAATGGCAAAGGATGAGACTGACAAATAGTGTCATAGAAGCAACAAGCATGAGTTGGACAGACTTTGGGAGATAAGGATAGAAGGGCTTGTGGTGCCATGGTCCATGGGGTCAGGAAGACATGACTCAACAAGGACCAATCTTTCCTCCAGTCCCTTACCCTTTCCTGACCCAACTGATCCTCTTTCTCTCTGGCTGAACTTTGGCAGAAAGTTGACTAACTCCATGAGGCCTTCCCATTCCGGGGAAGAAGCTGGCTCGGCCCACGGCATGGGGTCAGGTGGTTCTCATCCAGGTCACAGTGCCCTGGGAGCAAGCTTTCAGAAGCTAGGTCACGTGGGTGTGCGGAGTAGCTCTCTGGAGTTTGCCAGGCTGGCCCCGGGGATCCTGCACGACCACTGCAGAAGACACCCTTGGGTTCCTAGCTCTTTGAAGAAAGCTCGAGTTCAAAGAAAGAGAACTTCAGTCCCCACTCCAGGATTTGAGAGAGAAGGAAAAGTAGAACAAAGTGGGGAGGCTGGGAAAACCAGGTGTTATCAGCTTATTGTCATCTTAGAGGCAATGTGATACAGGGAAATGGCACTGGATTTAGCATCAGAGGATCTGGGTTCAAATTCTGGCTGAAGGGGCTGGACTAGATGGCCTTGAGAATGCAGTCTGTGATTTCATGATCCTATTCCAAGGTACACTGCTCCTTTAAGACCTTTTCATCTGGAGCAGTTAACCGATGAAAGCCTTCAAACTGGATGTAGACAGATATTACTCTGCCTTTTTCTAACACTGAACTCTCCTACACATGCACAAGTGAGGCACCATTCTACATCATTCACAAAGGGATTTACATCTGTATTTTATACCACAGACCTTTTTTTTCTGTTCCAAACTGTCCAATGATGTAAGATATTGCTGCTATTATAGATGGACATTTTGGTACCTTAATGGGTTAGAAAAAGAACGTTGTTTTAATAAAAACTGCTGTTATTTTTGCATAAAGAAACGCAGCTTTCAGACAGGATTTGGACAGTTGATACAGATCTTTCCCTTTACACCCTCCATATGAAAAGGGCCTCAAAGGGCTGGTGCACTTACCACTACCATGAATACAAGGTGTGCTCAGTCTCTCCTGACACTGAGAATGTACTGATGGGGCCTGTCTCTAGGCCTTTCCCGCAAAGAACTAGAAATTCAGTTTCCTGGAACCCCATGAAGTGTGGCTTATGTGTCAGCCTCTTGTTGAATCGGGCCCCTCTAGTCAGTATCTTCCCACCACGGACCCCTCCCTTACTCTTCCTGGGATCTCTGGTCCATACAGGAAACAGAGATTGGAAAATGACAGGGCTAGGGAGGAAGGGAAAAGAGGAAGCACTGGTCCCCAGGGATCTCTAGTACATATGGGAAACAGGACAGAAACTGGTGGGGAGGGATGGGAGAAGGGAAGTTCTGTTTTCCAGGGACCTAACCAGCACAGATGTCTCTGCTAGGCCCTGGAGGTCGAGAAGCTAAGGGTTAGATGGGGGTAGGAGTGTGGGGGACACCTACCCCACTGCCCCACACGTAGTACGTATAGGCCATGGCTTCCTTCCTGTTCAGCTTGTACACCTGCTGTAACTTCCGATCATACACCTCGGCCTCCTCGTCCTCGTTGGCAAAGCTCCTGACCGTCTTCATAGCACTGATGGTCTCCTCGGCTGTATTGCTAGCCCTGGCCAGGGCATTCTGGACCTCTTTGGAAAGCCGCTACATCCAACCCAAGAAGGAAAAGGAGAAGAAATGACAAATGAGCATCATTTCAGAGCTTGTGTCCCCTAGGTCCACTGTGCTCCCATGTTAGGACTGAAGCTTCCCATAGAGAGACCATAGAGAGCCTTTGGGGTTCTCTCCCTCTGTGGATGATACAAGCCAGATGATTTCACTGGTATTGGGGATTCCCATCTGTCAATGCAGATGGACTCCTGCTCTGCAGTGTATAATCTTAGAGAGTTTTCTAGGTTAAGTGACTTGCCTAGGATCATACAGATAGTATGGGTTAGAGGTAGAATCTGGGGGTGGCCTGGGTTTTCCTGACACCAAGACTAGCCAGTTCTCTGTTCGCTATGTCCCTCATACAAAACATATTCAAGGGGCAGTGAGGTGGCGCAGTGGATAGAGCACCAGCTCTGAAGTCAGGAGGACCTGAGTTCAAATCTGACCTCAGACCAAACACTTGACACTAGCTGTGTGACCCTGGGCAAGTCACTTAACCCCGATTGCCTTAAGAAAACAAAAAACCAAAACAAAACAAAACAAAAAACCAAAACAAAACATGAATAATATAAATAGCTGCACCCTGTGGGTAAGAAACTATGGTAAATGGAGGACATGTAAAATCTTCCACTTGGGTTCAAAGACTTAACATCCCAAGGACAAGATGGGAGAGATGTGGTTAGATAACAGACTGGGGAGTTTTGGTGGATTTCAAGCTCCACACCAGGAGCATCATGTTCAGTTCAGCCTAACTATCCACACAGGAAAAATCAACTGGATGAAAAAAATGCTTGTCATCTAGATAGTGCCGCACTGTGGGGTGGATAACCCATAAAGCTGTGCCATTAGCATATAAATGTTGAGCAGACGTTACAAGTAGACTATGATGTGGGCCCAGAAACTGAACAGAGGGAAGAGCACAGGTTGGATTGCATTTGAGGAATTGTGCTACACCTTTTAACAACCCTAGGTTTCTCCCTGAAACTAAATCCCATCTTTTTCACACTTATATTCTTCAAGGGCTGCTATCTATATGTGAATCATGGATTACCACAATCTCTGGGCAATCAAAATTGCAGCTTTTCATAGGATCCTACACCTACAGCTGGAAAGGATCTCTGAGGCCAGATGGTCTCACCCCCCTTGATCCAGGGAGGTCAAGTGACTTGTTCAAGGACACAAAGACAGTGTAGATGAGGAAACTGAGGCACAGAGAAGTGAATTTGCTATTAAAAAGAAATATTTTATCAATTTGTATCAATACAATTGCATTCCTTTGTAATTCTGTGTATTTTACTCTATGTATTTAAAAACTTTATTCTGCGGAGGGATCATAGGCTTCATCAGCATGCCTAAGGGGAGTCCGGGACACAATTAAGGTTAAGAAAGCCTCCTCTTGTGCAGCTCCCTCATTTTCCAGATGAGGAAACAGGTTAAGACCTCACCTGGAGGGCAATGGAGAGATGAGTGATGGGCCAATTACCACAGCTGAATTGTGTGCACAAAGCAACATAAAAGATATTATCCGAGAGACAGGAAAAGGAGGTGGGCCTGTCATGAAGTGAAAGCAAGAGATGGCAGACAGATGGCCTTTGAGATGCGCTGGGACCCACTTAATGTCAAGAAGCCTAGAGGAAGCCCCCCTGCCTGCCAACGTGTCCATCCCAAAAGACGGTTTAATAGAGGCCACGGACAAGAGTCACACAAGAGGAGAAGCAGTGGAGAGGTTACTATCTGCAAGGCTAGAGGGAGGGGATGCCTCCATCCAGGAGATGACTGATACATTCAGTTCAACAAATGATATTAAGGCCTTACTAAGGAGATGCCTTTCTGAACTAGCCAAGGCCCTGATCAGTCAGCTAGAAATGTCTTTCAGCAACAGGTCTTGGCATAGTTTTGGTCCCTGAATAGTAGTCTTGGCCTTGGCAGCCAGGAGACTTGGGAACCTGCTAAGGCAGGGCCCCAGTGGCGGGCAGCTGCCAGGGGAGAAAGAGTGGATCCATGGAGGCGTGGAGATGCCCCATGTCTGACACCAGAGTAGCCTTTCCATTGCCTGAGTTGTTTTGTGCCAGGTGGGACCTTGGGCAGATGCCACGACCCTTCTGCGTTTCATTTTCCTCATCTGCGAAAGAACAAAGGTGCTATTCTAGGCAAAGGGTTTTTAACCTGGTGTGATTTTTAAATATTTTGGTAATAGTATTTCAATATAACTTGTAATCTTGTGTATTTTATTTTATGCATTTAATAAATAATACTAATAGCTAGTATTTATATAGGGCTTTAAGGTTAAGGAATTGCTCTACAAATATTATCTCACAACAACCCTGGAGGTTAAGTGCTATTATTATCTCCATGTTACAGATAAGGAAACTGAGGCAGACAGAGGTGAAGTGACTTGCCCAGGGTCACACAGCTAATAACTCTAAGGCTAGTACTCTGCACCTAGCGGCCAATCTGAAAACATGATTCTAAGAAGGGGTCCATTGGGTTCACTAGTCTCCCGTTCAGGTCCATCTCACACACACACATTGTTAAGAACCCCTGGAATAAGGGATCTCCAAGTTCTTTAAGGACAGGGAATGATGCCTTTCTGTCCCCAGTGCCAAACCCGGAAAGGTCACTCTGGTGAGGGGGAACAAGCGGGGGGAACAGATCTATGATTTCACTGTTTTAGCCAGTTCCCAACGTGGAGATGTCGTTTCCCAGGGCAGAGGGCATGGGGTTACCAAGAAGTGAAGTGACTCGTTTAGGAGAAGGGAGCCAACACACGTCAAAGGCAGCGCTTGAGCCCAGGTCTTCCCGAGTCCCAAGCTGGCACACTGAACACTATACCTGGCACACAGCAGGCAGCTAATTGTCGACTGACTGCTTGATCCTAAGATCCTCCTCCTGTGAGCCACCAATCCCCCGTGTCGATGCCGGCTCATGGGGATAAAGTGAGCTGGGGGCAAAAGGGAAGGGACGAGAGCACGAGGCGCTCAAACGCCTCCAAGTCCTCTGTTGTAGCGACGTGGCGCTCCAGCGCCCTGGGAAGCTTGAGAGACGGTGGGTTGTGACAAGACCTGATGAGGTGCCCGAGGTGCTCATCCTCATAGCAACCCTGGGAGGGAGCTGCTATGGCTAGCCCCATTTTTCAGAGGAGGAAACAGAGGCTGAGAAAAGCTAACGGTTTTGCCCAACGTCACCCAGCTAATAAATGTCTAAGGCAGGATTCAAACCCAGGTCTTCCTGACCCCCAAGTCCAGTTCTATCCACTATGCCACTTTGTGGTGGTGTTCAATCATTTTTCAGTCGTGTCCAACTCTTCATGACCCCATTCGGGGTTTTCTTGGCAAAGATACTGGAGTGGTTTGCCACTTGCTTCTCTAGCTCATTTTACAGATGAGGAAACTGAAGGAACACAAGGTAAAGTGACTTGCCCAGGGTCACACAGCTAGTAAGTGTCTGAGGCTGGATTTGAACTTAGGTCCTCCAGACTCCAGGTCCAGCACTCTACTATGCCACCTAGGTGCCCTATTTAAACTTCAGCTTAGTATTAAAGTATTTAGTATGTGCCACCTAGGTGCTGACTACTTTGCCCCTTAGCTACCCCTTAATGGAAAGCACAGGGGAAAATCCTGAATTTAGACTCTGCAAAGACCTAGGTTTGGCCTGTCTGCCTCTGCCAATCACTAGATGTGTGACCCTGAGTAAGTCACTTCACTCTATGGGCTTGTTTCTTCCTCTGTAAAATGGGGGGAATAAAACCTATAGGATCTAACATATATGGCTGTTGTGAGGGAGGAAGAGAAGGGAGAAGAGAGGAGGGAGAAGGGAGAAAGAAAAGGAGAAGGTAGCAGAGAAAGAGGAAGAGTGCCACCAACAAAAATAATGCTGCCTCACATTGATATCACAATTGAAGGTCTGAAAAGTACTTTCCATGTATTATTTCACTTAAGCCCCATAATAAACCTTTGAGGGAGGAACTATGGTTATTACATTTTATTACATTTTATAGATGAGGAAACAGATTCAAGAAAGGTCAAGTGATTTACCCAGTGATAGAAAATGCTTTGCAGACCTTAAGGTGCTGGATAAGCCCAACTGTTATGAGGGAATCAGAGCCCTGAGGTAACCCCCATGGGACAGGTGTCACACCTACATCACCCTAAATCAGGCAGAATGCTCATGGCACTGGATGACCAAACAAAGAGCAACGGATAGAGCTCTAGGAGGATGTGAGTCACCTGCATTACCCAATGGTAGGTGGAGGAAGTGTGCCTGCTGGAGGTGGCTGTCATTAAATTGTGCTGGCATGGAATGTTATGAAGTGGTGAAAGAATCATTAGACCTAGAAAGATCCTCCTCCTAACAGCACACACCCAGACCGGAAGGCCGGGTTTGGGTGCAGGGCCCTGGACACTCCAATATCCTTGTTCTAGTCACATAGACCTCCCACCCTGTCCTCTTTTTTCCCTCTCCACCCCACCCGGGGGGGGCCCCCATCTAGGGCCCCCCTCTTCTTTACCAACTTTGAAGTGAAGATACAGACCATTGGCCATGTCCTACACCTCCACCACAGGGCCAATAACTTAATTAAGTCCAAGGCTTAGTCCTCTGCAGCTTCTCTGGTCTCCCTGTCTCTCTCTCTCTCCTCTCTCTTTCTTCTCTGTCTTGTCTCTCTCTGTCTCTGTGTCTCTCCTCCCCACCCCACCGCACCTGTCTCTCCACCTCCAGCTCTCCTTTCTCTCCTGAGCTCAGAGCCTATGGCACCATTTGTCTCCTGGACATTTCCCACTAGAGGTCTCAGAGGCCCACGCCCCAAATACCTCCTTCACTTTCTTGGTTCTGTCCAGGGCACCCACACCTTTCCAGTCACCCAGGTTCAAAATCTCAGAGTCACCCTCTGCCTCCGTCTGCCTCCCCCTGCCTCCATGGTCAGTCAGCAGCCAAGCCTCAGCCATTCTATCCTCTACCACCCCTGGGCACCAGCTCCCTTCTCTCGTCTAACGCGACCCTCATCACTGATTCCTTGGACCTACTGAATTAGCCTTCTCATTGACCCCTGCCTCAGGTCACTCCTCTCCCCAACAAGCCATTCACACCACTGCCAAAATCACGTTGTTCTACAGCAAAATTGAGGGGAAGGGGATAAGAGAAGCGGGGGAGAGATAGAAGGGAGGGCAGATTAGGGGTATTCAGAATGCATGCCATTTTGGGGTGGGGGTGGGATGAGATGGGGAGAAAATTTGGAACTCAAAATCTTGTGGAAGTGAATGTTGAAAACTAAAAATAAATAAATAAATTTAAAAAAAAAACCCAAAAAACCCCAAAATCACATTGTTGAAGCACAGCTCTGACTGTCCCTCTCCTGCTCAAGTACCTCACCTCCCTGTGGCTCCCCAGTGCCTCTAGGATCAGATTCACAATCCTCTGTTTCACCTGGAGCCCTTCACAGTCTGGCTCCAGGCTCTTCTTCCAGCCTTATGGCCCCTTTTACCTCCCAGGCCTACTGACTTCCCAGCTGCTCATCTCCTGCATCTCTGCCCTAGCAGGCGCTATCCCCAGGCCTTACCATTCAGCCGCAGCCACAGTGTGTCCCCTAGAGGAGGCCTTTACTGACCACCCCTTCCCCTCCAAAGCACACTGTATGTACTTTATAAATATTCTATACTCACACTGTGAGCACACTGTGCTGTTACAATTGGTAGACTGTTAGCACCTTGAGCTTAGCACAGTGCCTGGCACTTAGTAGGTGTTCAATAAATGCTTTTTGACTGATTGCTGGATGGGTCTAGGGAACTGCAAAATGTGATTAGGTGCAAAGAGTGTTGATTTGAAGTCTGAGGACCTGGGTCCTGCTAGTCACTCTGTGTGTGTGTGTGTGTGTGTGTGTGTGTGTGTGTGTGTGTGTGTGTTAGAGACAGAGAGAGACAGACAGACAGACACCTTGGGCAAGTCACTTCCCTTCGTGTGACCTTGGTTTCCTCATCTGTAAAATAAGGGAGTTGGGCTCAATGACCTCGGAGGTCTCTCCCAGCACTACAGCCATGACCCTAAAAGCTGGTCTGGGATCTGCTGAGTTTGGCTAGTTGGGGCAGAGATTGTAAGGGGATGGGGAAACCAGAGAGGTGAGGAAGAGAGGCCCCAGGGGCTGCCAGGTGAGCCCCACCCAAAGGCTCAGCCGACCACAGGAAAAGGGACCCATGTGACCCAGGGGCTGGGCAGGGACCTCCAGGGCGGGACTGGGAAAACACAGCAGGATCTGTTTTTCGGGGACTGATTCATTTCAGGAAAAGAGGGGTGGGGAGGAATGGGAGGGAGGCCATGGCTGACCAGCCGGGCACACAACCACTGCGCTCTCTTCTCTGTCCTGGCTTTTACAAGAGGCAGTAACTGGGAAGGATGGGGAAGAAAAGCCCCGGGCTCACCTTGAGGCACAGGCCAGGGAGTTCCAAGTGGGCTGCCCAGCCATCACTGAGGCCCCCCTTAGTCTCCAATCAATCAATCAACAAGCATTTTTTAATGCCACTGGTGATACAGAGACAAAGAAGTAAATAATCCCTAACTGGCAGAGTTCCCATTCTAATGGGAATTTTCAGGGACCTCTTTAAGCAGATGTTGTATGCAAGGTGGCCTGGTGAAGGAGACAGGAGGCCTGGGTTGAAGTCTTGCCAAAGGCACATCCTGCTGTATGAGCACACGTTGCTGTATGCAGATGAACTCATAGGTTTGAACCACACACCCCGAAATCCCAAACAGAAATAGAAATATGGATAGAGAGACAGGAGCAAGTATAGGTGACAGCCAAACACAAACCTCGGCCAACACAGGCACCTCCAGCCCATGACCCTCCTACTGCCCCGCCAGACACCCTGGAAGAGGAGCAGGAGTAGCTGTAACCACCGGCCAAGGCTGAACCCAGACCCAGGCCTCATGTTCTCTGTTTTTTGGGTTTTTTTTGTTTTTTAAGGCAATTGGGGTTAAGTGACTTGCCCAAGGTCACACAGCTAGTAAACGTCAAGTGTTTGGTCTGAGGTGGGATTTGAACTCAGGTCCTCCTGACTTCAGGGCCGCCTAGCTGCCCCGGCCTCATGTTCTCTGCAGCAAGCTTCCAAGATGCTGAGGCCTCTCCCCTCTGCCCCTATTGCTCTTCTCGTATCTCTCTCCACCCCTGCAGTAACAGATGATTGGCTCAATAGATACAAACCATCGCTAACTCCCACCTCAGCCCACTTCAGCAAGCCCTCTGCAACTGCTGGTCCATAGTGAACAAACACCTCTCCATCCTTCCCTTTACTGGCCCTAAGACCCGGCTCTACACACCTCCAGCCCCGGGCCGGCAGAGACAGTCTACACTCTGCTTCCCATGGTCGCTGCCAGACTCCTTCGCCTCAATCTTTGGCAGCCTTTCCTCGTCCGAAGGCCATTCACCACACTACCCCGTGCAATCCCCATCCGGGGCTCCCCCCACCCCACGCCACCCTTCCACCAGGGGGCTTCAACATTCATGCTGTCACTCCATATCTTCAGCCTCCTTCAATCTCAGGGCCTTCACACAGGGGTGGTCACACGCATGCACACATCTCACCGCTACCCACCCATGTCCCACCTCCCTCATTACAAACTGACCATGACCTCCACTTCTGCCGGGGCCTCCCCTCCTACACCTGTTCTTGGCACTGCCCCCACTCACTGCTTTCTCAGGCTCCTCACCCTGCCCCTCCCCCTCCCATCTCAGTCTGGCACTGACCCTGCTCACAGGTCCTTCACTGGCCCCTGGGTGCTGCGCATCCCTCCACAAACTTCAGCCTCAATTATTTCCACCCTCCTCCTCCTCTCTTCTCCCTCATGGTTACCCGCTGAAGGCACAGGAGAAATTCTTACAGCTGGGCCCCCCTTGCTGTAGATCCTTCCTTTTATTCCTCCTGGATTGATTCCCCATCTCCCCCCCCCCAGGATCAATTCCAAACCGTCTCTGCCTTCCTCAAGCACCCTCTCTCCCTCCCTCCCACTCTCTCTGTCTCTTTTCTCTCTCTCTCTCTCTCTCTCTCTCCCTCCCTCTCTCTTTCTCTCAGTGGAGAACCCTGCTTTACTTTCACCAAGAAAATTGAGGCCCTTCTATGTGAGCTCCCTGCTCTCCCAGATTCTCTTCCTGATTCATTTCACCGCCTCAAGTCTCTCCCCACTCCAGGCTAGCTACATACCCAGCTGTCAGAGTGATTTTCCTTAACCACAGATGTGATTGTGTGATTCTCCTACTCAGTCAATGCCAGTGGTTCTTGTATAAGAAAAAAGCTCGTCTGGTTAGCTGTGCAATGCCCTGACATTGGCCTCCATCTATCTTTGCAGCCTCATTGTCCATTCCTCCTCATCCCATACTCTGTGATCCAGCCAAACTGACCTCTTCCTGCTCCTCACACATGACACGCCCTCTCCCATCTCCAAGCCTTTGCACTGGCCATGCCGCATGCTTGAAGTGCACTCCCTCCTTACTGACGCTTCATACAATTCCTGACTCTTGGACCACCTTCTATATTCAGCTTTCCTGATACCCACCAGCTGCTCCGTGTTGAACTACTTTGTACATATTCACTTATACATATTCATACAGAACATATGTCCTGGTTGTCTCCCCCACTGCAATGTAAGCACCTGGAGAGTAGGGGGTGTTTCAGTAGGCCCTTAACAGAAACACACACATGCTGCCCCACCCCCACCCCCACATACACATGTACCACAAAGCCAAAATGAAACACAGTTCTTGTCCCTAAGGGATATGTTCGCCGCACAGACACCAGACTGGACCTCCAACTTTCTGGAGGACCCAGGTTCTAGGAGGCCTGTAGCTAGCTCCCCTAGGGACCCGAGGAGCATGGGAGGATCCTAGCATCTGGGGCCCCCAGCACAGCCCCAGGCCCCGGGGGGAACTCTGGGAGAGTGGGTCAGGGCCAGATCTTGAGGACTTGGGAATAATAGGGCAGGAGCCCAGCACCTGGAGAGAGCAAGGCCAGGGCCAGGGCCTGGTTCTGGGGAAGAGCAGGGCAGGGGCCTACCTTGTAGTACTTGCCGTAGATATCTGACACCATCATGATGATGGGGAAGCCCATGAAGGTAACCAGGGAGAGCTGCCAAGAGAGGCTGAACATGAAGACAACGACGCCGGTGACCTTGACTATATTTCGGAGAAAGATGTTGACGTTCTGGGAGACGAGGTCACTGACCATGGTGGTGTCCGAGGTTAGGCGGGAGATGAGGTCCCCTGGAACACAGGCAGCTCAGCTCTGCACGGTGGCCAAGTGAGAGGGACAGTGGGAGAGGGAAGGGAGGGGACACTAAGGGGCTTCCTCAGCCAGACTTGGTCTCACCCACCCACAATCTACGGGTCCGGGGAGGCCCTGGATGGTGATGCCCTACCCCATGCCACAGCAGGCTTCCCCACGCCCTTACGAGACAATAAAAGCATTTGCTAAGCACCTACTATGTGCCAGGTGCTGTGATGGCTGCTGGAGATGCCAGGACAAGAATAAAATCATCCCTGCCCTCAAGGGGCTTCCGGCCTACTACAGAAGCTGATCTTTATGAGCTGGAGCACCCACGTGCCCAGGGGGCCAATGGGAGACAGACAGCTTGCTCTATGGAAGCATCATCTTCCTCAGGCTGCCTGCTGCCCTCTAATGCTGCCTCCATCCTTCTTGTCTCCTTTGAGAACATCTGCTAAGCATTCCCTCCTTCTCTCCTGTCCCATGCCCCTCCAAGGAGCTGACTGCTGCCACTGGGATGCAGATGCCTTCCCCCAGAGATAGTCAGATACGGTGGTGGGAGAAGGCCAGTGACACTCTGTCACCCCGCCTTGGGAAATGCTCCACTGTCCTCTACGGCAGGGATTCTTAACCTTCTTTGTGCCCTGGACACTTTGGGAAGTTTGGGGAAACTCATGGACTCAGAATCATGTTTTTTTTTTTTTTTAAACGCATAAAATAAAATGCACAGGATTACAAAGGAAAGCAATTATACTGAAATACAGTTCATCAAAATATGTTTAAAAACAAGTTCTTGAACCCCAGGTTAAGAACTCCTAATCAGAGGGACCCCTGGGCTGAGCCCTTGCACCTGACCCACCAGGCACTGTTTCTGACATAGCAAATGCTTCCTGTCCAAGGCTTGGAAGGGGAGGGCAGATGCTGCACTAGCCATCCCTCTCCCAGGGGAAGGAAGGAATACGGCAATGTCCTCTCCTGCCCATTTCTTCTGCCTGCGCTGCCGCCCTCTCAAGGCAAGCAGAGATGCCTTGGGCTTGGAGTTCTCGAGGACAAAGCCTGTTTTACTGGGAGTGGCCCTCCACCCCTTGCCCACAAAGACTGCAAGACACATCCTACCCAATGTGGTCTCTGCACACGCCTCGGGCAGTGTAGGGAGGAGCCCAACATCCTGGCCTGGCCCTGGTCCCCAAGAATGACCACACAGAGGCATGGCCAGAAGCCCAAAGTTACCCTAACTTAGGCCTAAGGTTGTGACCAAAAACCTCAGCACGCAGGCCAGACCTCTAAGGACAGACAGTGGCCAGGACAGAACAGACCCACTGGCTCGGTTTGCTTTCACACATTCCTCATCCGGGGGAACCGAAGAAGATAAGGCTGGGTATAGCCAAGGAAAGGGCCTAGAGACCCGGGGGCAGGGTCCTTTTTTCATCCACTCATCCATCTTCACTCATTCTCTCATTCATTCCTGGTCATTCCTTCATTCCCTCAGTCCTCATTCATTCCTTCAGTCCTCATT